AGAATAATAATCTTTACCAACAGAATCAGTAGAAGGTCTTCCGTTCGAAACGGAAGACCTTAATAAATAAAATAAATAAATTAATTAAAAAAGAAAAGAACAAACGCTTAAGGCGAGATTTCCTAACAGCATAGGGGATACAAATTCTTGGGGGGGGGGGTTAGATACATATTGTACCACAGGCTAGATTACAATCTGATCCATTTCCTACAATATTTTCTTTTTAATAGTATGCGCTTACTGTTAGCTTACACATATGCATATCTCGGGGGCATTTCTTCATTGAAAATATCAGTTCAAACCCAGTTGCCAATCGCATGTAATATGGTATGTGTTTATCCCTCATGTAAGCAGTTAACTGAATTATTTTCTGTTTAGACAGTAATCTCATATGGGATTAAGATGCATTAGTCGGTACATAATTGTATATGTACATGTAGTTTACATCCATGCATTAGCTAATGGGTACAAATACAGGTTACTCCTATAAGAGCCTCGGTTAACGTCCCTACGCTCCTTATGTACCTCGGAGCCAAGTCAAAAGTATCTCGTCGTGAACCTCTAGCATGCTGGAGTAAAATACAGGTTAGCTAGGGGATATAAATACAAATCCACAAGTGAGTAGGAGTTAACGTTTCATAGTGCTAAGATTAGATAAACTTCGACAGCATTTTAGGGTATTAAAGAAAGGATAGGTTTCCACTGACTTAGCATATTAATTTTCATGCTCTCTATCATATATCCATTTTTTACAGCCTTAAAAAGAAGTATTTTTATGAACGTGTCTGTTTAAGTGTCTCCAATCCATGCTTTATTTATTTCTCTATCAGGTAATATTGTTATGTATGACATCATGATTTCTGTGCTTTTTTAATAAATGGTAGATTATTCTAAAACTATTACTCAATGTGTTTTCATAAAGAGAGAGAGAGAGAGGGGGGAGAGATGGAGAGACTTAAGTTGTCCTTAGTCTGAAGAAAAGTCTAAGATTTCGGGATATTTCCTCAATTAATAAGAAAACATCTACGTACAAAGGAATCAAAATAAAAGTTTTTAATGCTTAACGAAGGGATTTTGAATAGTTTTTAATTTATTTAAACTAGTTAAAAATACAATGGTAGAAAACTATGAAAGTGAAATGAACCAAATTCACCAAATTAACATGACTGATAACAAATGAGAGGCTGATCAATTTGCACCTGAAAAAGTTTTGGAAAAGTCTGTCCTTAATGAAAAATAGAAAAATTAATTTTATGAAAAGAGAGTAAAAAGAGAGTTTATGCATATTTCCACCAAGAGCTTTCTATGAAATGTACGTTACTTGTTTACAATATCTCAATAAAACATGTGCTGTCTATAGACACCAATGAAAAATTAAAGGTACAATGAATTAAACAATAATTAAAATTTTGTAAATTCCTTTCGTGGTGTATGTTCATTTCATAATACATATACCTTCAAAACGTTACCATAATTAATCATTTCTGACTATTCGTTTGTTAGGTACAAAATATACACAAAATACAGTCGTTATATATTGAATACCTTAAGCTCTGAACTCAACTACTGAGATATAATTTAAGTTTTGTGCACACGAATACATTGAGAATCTTAATTCCTTAACATTTCTTTAGAAAGAAGGAAATGGAGATAACGAACAGTATTCAAAATAGCATTGTATCGATAACAAGCGTTGAATTTGGAACTTCTTGTTTTTTTTTTTCAGCTAGGTTCCGCTGCATTAAATCAAATAATTAATTGAGACACAATCTTTTGTTGAAAAAGTCAGAAGAGTGATTTGTTTTTCTCATGTAAATTTTTTAAAAACAAATATGCTTTATATAAATGGTGATCCAAGGAATTCCAACAAAAATTAGAAGACCTGGCCCCGGGATCATGAAACATCTTGAGGGAAGTCAAGAGTCTTATGTTGTATTTAAATGTTGTAGATGTCATAAAGCCCTATAAATCAAAATATTTCTCCACATTATTTTCTAAAAGTGCTGTTATCTACAAATTTTGAGATTAATTGAATTATTGATAAATATTTTGCAGGCAATTAAAAATTTTACTTAAGTCTGAGTCTGTTTCATGATACTAGGGCCTGGCCTGGAGACCATACTGAGAACAGATTTGGAATATACTGTCACTAATAATGCATACGTTATAAAAATAATCATTAGGTTTGTATAATATTTCAATTGAAACATATGATAAAGGTGTTCATCAAAATTATATCAAAAGTTATATTGATTTGAAATTTCGACTTAATTAACTGTTTTCATTTTTTGGTCTTGGGGTCTGATCTCCAAAAACCACATTCATTTTTTTCAATCAGAATCTCAAACTTCTTTTCAATATCAACTTAAGAGTACCTGTGTGTACAATCAGAAAGTTTCATAACAAAATATATGCATATGACAAATGACAATGTGAGTATACTTACGGGTTCTAATCATATTGAAAAGGTAGCTTCTAGTAACAAAGTGTTGAAAAATCTTCTCTTTGATATTGTAGAATTTGGTAAAACTTTTGTAAAGTCTTCCTGAGGGCTCTCCTTCACTGCTGTAATTAGTTTAATGAATTCTCTGTCGAATATCTGGAAGAAAGCAAATGTTGTGAGAGTGGTTGGGGTTGAGTTAAGTTTTCCTTTCGACGGATTCCACCAGCCCTGGGCTTATCGTCATGATCAGATGAAAAGTCGGCGACAATTCAAAACGAAAATCTGTTTTAAAACGTCTGTCAGCGACCCATCGACAGACTGAGTTTGCAAATGTTGTCATTCCCTAACGACCATAAAATTTGCAAAACGTACACTGAGAAGGAAAATGTTGAACAAGTTATATCTTTAACTTATTTGTCAATCATCTGCTGCATTTATGAAATTGTTCCTAAGTAGAACATGCACTTGCGTATGAATTCAAGTGAGAAAAAAAAACAAACAAACTCCATGTGCAGGTAATTACAAGTCATCGCGTTTAGTTGTTAATCTATTAAACTCAGATATCAGATTTCTTGGTATTTTTATTTCGCTTTTAGTGATATAAATAGTAATGAAGCTGAATATTTTCAATTGATGAAACGGCATCAATATATCTGATTTAGTACTGAAAGGAGTAGAGTTTTCTTCTTTTCTTATAGAATGTTTTTTTTAATAATTCTGTCTCATATAAATGTAAAAATAGGTCTGCTTACAACGTATCCATGAGTATTTAAACAGATTGTAAAAAGAAATGGTGTCTTTGTAAACCAAATAATTTATATAATGTCAATGATAAACTCAAGTTTAGACGAGTCAGTTGAGATAAGATCGGGTAAGTTAAACACGGATGTATTTTTATTATTTATTATCAAACCGAGTTAATAATTAATCATTACGAACTCTAGTACGTTAGGAAATGTTTCAGAATAAAGTTTTCTGATTTTGAATTTCTGTCTCACGTTATTTTAATTTTATCGCGTTGGGTCACCGAGAGTATTGATATCTTTATTCATATAAAACTCAAACAATGTTACAGTTACCAAGTTTATTATTCAAAACACATACTGGATCATGGGGACTGACAACCGACTTACAATGCGTTAAAGAAACTGCTCTATCTCCAGGAAATATGGAGATTGGCTAAGTATACATGGTAACACATTGTAAGAAGCAAACAAGTAATAAGAAATGCACGACTATTAAAATATATACAAATGTAGTAAACAAACATACATATGGAAAACACACACATTAACCCCCTGAAAAAAAAAACTTGGGGATTATAGGTTAAAATATGGAAAAATTTCAAGAATTTGTGTCAAAACAACTTCAAAAATAAAAACACTTAAATAGATATCAAAACATTAATCCAGATAATGAACGGTATCAGATTGACGCAAAAATAGGAGATCGGCCTTGGCGAATCTTTTCTTACTTAGACGGGTATAGAGTTTGTAAATGTTGTTTCCATATATACACTTCCTTCTTGACCTTATAGTTAGGTTTGGGGATCTTGGTACAGAGTGGTGAACGTTTATCCTTTGTTATCTCATGTAATCTCCGGTCTTATGTAAATACTGTAACTTCTCATTACAGGTACATATATTATAGGAGTATTGACTTTTTGGCATTTTATTTCTAATTTCGATTTAACTTCTTTTATCATACTGTAGAAATTTATTTTTTTAAAGCTAGATATGTTAGACAGGACAGTGGTTGTACGTAATGCTGTAGGTTCAAGCATATGTAGAATATTAATGTTGCAGAAGTATAATTACTGTTTTAATGGTTTTAGTAACTTCCTAAGACGAATGATATAATAGGTAGATTAATGACAACAAACTAAGTGTTTGTACTCTCCCGATTCATGAAGAAAAAAATGGTGTCGGTAGGTAGGTGTTTTTTACTTCAATGCTAAATTTTCAAAAAGGTTTATCTATTAAACATACAAAATTGTTTCCTGGATAGAAAGCAAATTTTGATTCGGTAAATTAAATCCAGTCAGTCGGGAGGAGAAAGAGCTAAAACATTTTTTTTTTTAAATACATGTATCATCATATGCTGTAAATGTTTCATTTATCGTACAAAGTATATAGATTAGAAAAAATGAAATTTTTCAAGGTTTATGTACATTAAACATATTTAGACATTTGAGGCATAGAATCGCAACCCTTATGTACATTAACCAGAAAAGAGTCAGTCTGTTAGAGTCAGTCTGAAGATGTTAACAGAAGAAGGGATAAGGAAAAAAGTAAGCAGAAATATCAAACAACTGAATAAATTTAATATAAAGTCTGGTTTGTTAATTTAACAAGTCTTGAATACGAAAATGTGTTAATCAGGTACAAGGAACATTCAATTGTCAAATACAGTATAAAACTAAAGCTCAGACAATCACATCAGTTGTAGCTGGGCTTATTTGTAGTTCTACACAACTGTGTATACGATTGTGTTATCAGTTTTAATTTCTTTATCTATATACTGATAGGTAATAACATCACTTTGCTTGTGATTGTTTATATTTTTGAACAACAGGAATATTTATACTTTACAATTTCATAATCAGAATGCCAAACAAAAGATGATTTACGTTATTTTGTTTATTCTTTTGGGAACATTTCAGGTATTTATTATTTAACTAGCTTATATTAATTTGATGAGCAAAGTTAATCTTAAGGATCAGACACATTGTTCATACGTATTTACATAGGATTTTCAGATTAAGATTTCAATTTCTATTTTGATAAAGATTGTTTCATTTTGAGACATAGAATCGCAACTCTTAACAGCACGACTATCGGTAAATATTCTTAAAGACAATAGTCAATTGCAGGCCTCTATTGTTCATATTAGCTTGACATGTGAAATGCAATGTTCTTTCAAATAAGTTCATGTCTGGTTATGTACATTTTGAAACTGACCAGATAGTTAATTTTTCCACATCTATAACCAGGTGTCTGTGGGGGAATACTCCGTGGAGGTGAACCTGGTACGCTACAACAGGGAGGAAGATAGGTGCTGTGATGGCGTCCTTATCATTTGTAACGAGTGTGACGTGTATATGAAGGTGTGTCTGTACCCAAGTGGAATATCTAGGTAAAGCCTATGATGACATGCTTTTTACTTGCTAAGTAATGTGGATATTTTAACAAATGTACTAACATACTTTCTACTCCCTGCTTTATTTAGCCAGACATGCCAAGGAGGAAACAAAAATTACAGAGTGGACGATACCCACGGGTTTCTGTTTAAGGACCAATCAAAAGTCAGGCATCATTCTGACTATAAATGGCATAATCTAAAGGAAAATAAGGTAGATTACGATAAGGAAGTAATTTCCTATGGTTGGTAAATACTCTTTCATTGCTTACAAATTTCGTGAATTAACTTTATGTTTTTTTTAAATATAAACTGTTATAAATGATTTTATAAATTTTCCATCTTAAGTCCTTGAAGCCTAATATTTTGGATACATCATACATCTAAAAGTGTCCGTACTTAATCATGATGAGGAATATCAGATCTAAATTTAAGCAATACTAATTAACCAATGTTTCTACTGTCTGAGATATTTTTTTTCAGGTAAATATAACGGTAGAAATTGTTGTGTACGACTATGAAGCATTGCATTCGGACACGACCCTCGGAATCCTTCGGCACAATTACGTTGGTCCTATGGTCCAGAACAAGTCCATTACCACAATACCAGGACGAAAGCAAATCGAGTAAGTTAAAATTATGTTTTATATTTTATACTTTTATTTCAGGTATTTTCCGTCATCTATTTTTGAATAAAACCTTTTAAAATACGAAATAGTAGCATTGTTACATAAAAACACTTCATAATTACTATAAAAATAAAAATAAAGATTATTCAGCTTCACCTGTATATTTGCGGTGTCTTATTTGTATAAAAATGGTTAATGGATTATAGAATGTTAACCTCATTTCTATCAGTTCCTACACTTTAACAATCAATGACAACTTTCAGGGTAGAATTCTTGCTGAGTATCACGTGTAGTCCACATTACTATGGGTCTTCATGTTCCAAGGTTTGTGTATCACGTGGTAATCTGACGTGTAACGTTAATGGAGATTTAAAATGCCAACAGAATCACTGTGGACCAGAGTGTTGTCAAGATTGTACAGCTGGAAATAATTACGTCTGCGGTACAAACGGTACCAAAATATGCAATCAAGATTTTTACGGTCCAAATTGTTCTATTAAATGCACTGCGCAGGGCAATCTAAGCTGTGATTCCCAGGGTCAGCTGGTGTGCCGACCAAGTCACTGTGGGCCTGATTGCTGCAAAGGCTGCATAGCGCACAACAATCACATCTGTGACAATAACGGCACTCTCAGGTGTAGAGACACTTTTTACGGACCCAGCTGTAAAACACGCTGTGTTCCCAATTCCAATCAGTTTTGCGATGATTTTGGAAACCTTCATTGTAAACCGAATTACTATGGTCCTCTTTGTTTGACCAAATGTGTAGGTACCGGCAATGTGACATGTGATAAGAGTGGGCGTCACATCTGTATGCCGAACCACTGCGGAAGGGACTGTTGTGGTTCGTGTATTGCTGTCGGGAATCAGATCTGTGAATCAAATGGAACAATCGCATGTAAACCTTCGTACTATGGTTTAAATTGTTCGATACAGTGTATTCCCAACGAGAATCAAATTTGTAATCATACTGGAAAAATACAATGTAAATCTAACTACTTTGGAGTCAACTGTTCTAAACTTTGTTTCCCACGTGACCATGTGACGTGCGACGAATTTGGAAATCATATTTGTTTGCCTAATTACTGCGGCGAGGATTGTTGTGGGAATTGTATCGCTGTTGGTAACTTTGTCTGCAAAAATGAAACGAAAGTATGCAAACAGAATTATTATGGCAGCAATTGTACTGTCAAATGTGTCCCCAACCTAAACCAAGATTGCAATGACAAAAGCGAATTAAAATGTAAACCTTCCTTCTACGGTACAAATTGTTCCATCAACTGTATACCGAAAGGTAATTTGGTCTGTAATACACAGGGTAAACACGTGTGCAAGGATAACCACTGTGGCGAAGACTGCTGTAAAAGTTGTATTGCCCGTGGAAACCAGGTGTGTAACGGTACCGGGTCTATAGTATGCAAACAGACCTATTATGGCGAGAATTGCTCTAAACAATGTATTCCATATGGAAACAAAGTATGTGATTCTTTTGGAGATTTGAAATGTAAAGAGAATTATTACGGACCAAACTGTTCCACAAACTGTACTCCAGTGGGGAACCTGACGTGTAGTTTTGATGGTAAACTTGTATGTAGCCCGGACCACTGTGGTTTTGATTGCTGCGGGCCGTGTATTGCATCCGGAAACCATATTTGTGCGCAAAACGGAACTCTTATCTGTAAACAGAACTATTACGGGAAAGATTGTAGTGTAAATTGTGTTCCTAACCCGAATCAAATGTGTGATAACGATGGTACCTTAAAATGCAAGCCTTCGTTTTACAGTTCAAATTGTTCAATTCATTGTGTTCCACAGGGGAATTTGATTTGTAACTCTCATGGGCAACGTGTGTGTAGGACAAATTATTGTGGAATAGATTGTTGTGGTCATTGTATCGCACATGGAAACCAGATATGTAACGCGTCGGGGTCTCTGGTTTGTAAACATACCTTTTACGGTGTGAATTGCTCCAAAGAATGTATACCAAGTGGAAATAAAATTTGCGATTCCTCAGGAAACTTAAAATGTAGCGAGCATTTTTACGGACCGGATTGTTCAATCAAGTGTTACCCAGTTGGAAACGTATCATGTGACTCAGATGGAAATCTAATTTGTAATAAGAATCACTGTGATTCGGACTGCTGTGGTAGGTGTATAGCATCAGGAAATAAGATTTGTACAGCAAATGAAACTCTTATCTGCAAGACAGGGTTCTATGGATTAAACTGTACAAAACATTGTGTTCAAGGAAATACTACAACCTGCGATTCAAATGGGAATATTATCTGTAAACCAAATTATTTTGGACCGCAATGTGCAGTGTTTTGCAGTCCAAACGGAAATATTGAATGTGACGATCACGGAGCATTGATTTGTAAACCGAACTATTGCGGATCTGATTGCTGTGGGTCTTGTATTTCTTCAGGTTACAGGGTGTGTTCAAAAAACCAGGAGCTTATTTGTAGAGAAAATTACTACGGCTCAAATTGTACTAAATTATGCTTACCGAAAGGAATGAAGATTTGCAATACAGAGGGAAATCTTGTCTGTAAAACAGATTTCTACGGATTGAATTGTGAAAATCATTGTGTATCGACCGGAAATCTTACTTGTGATACAAACGGGCATCTGAAATGCAAGGAAAGCCATTGTGGTCCCGACTGTTGTTCAGACTGTATCGCAGATATTAACAGTGAATGTACATCAAACGGTACAAAGATTTGTAAAATAAATTATTATGGCAGAGATTGTTCCATTTTCTGTAAAGCTGACCACCACCATCAATGTAACGCGAAGGGAAACTTAGTTTGTTCCGACAACTACTACGGCGACAAATGTTCGAAATACTGCCATCCCAGGGGGAACCTCACCTGCTCTAAGGAAGGGGATTTAATCTGTATAAGGAATCATTGTGGGACGGACTGTTGTTTAAACTGCATCGCTAGAGGAAATCAGATATGCGCACTGAATGGTTCAACGATGTGTCTGCCTAACTATTATGGAGCGCAGTGTTCAAGATACTGTAAGTCGATAGGCAATAAAGTCTGTGACGCGTCTGGACATTTAGTTTGTGCCAAGGATTTCTACGGCAGAGACTGCAACATCCACTGTGTGGCCTTAAGAAACCTGACTTGTGACGTGAATGGTGTTCTGCAGTGCATTCCTGATCATTGTGATGAAGACTGTTGTAAAAACTGTATAGCAACAAACACAACCTCTTGTGGCCCGGATGGACATTCTCATTGTAAGGATAACTTTTATGGGCCAAGCTGCACAAAGTTTTGCGCGCAAACAACAAATTATCTATGTGGAAATGATGGCTCAAAAATATGCAATCAAGGTATGTCTAATAGAAAAAAATAATGTATTTTCTCTTTTCCATTCACATTATTTTTGATAGCATGTAATTTTGTCTTCTCTGAAGGATATACAGGAAAAGACTGCAAGGATTTAATCACAACAACACTTGAATCAACTATAGTCACAGCAGATACTTTCACGAGCTCTGTCGAAGCTACACAGCTAAAGACGACAAAACCAAAAACCACAATAATAACAGAAACAACTGAACCAAATACTAAAGCGACCACAAAGTCTATGACTTACACAACAACAACAACAAGTAAACCAGCAACCACGTCCTCTGATGTCACAATAAATCCTCATACATTTCCCCGACACGCCTCAACGAAATCGTCACCGACAATAGTGACACATGATGCAAGTAGCTTGAAAACGTCAAGGAATCCTATCTTTTCAGATACCAATAAAAAGGTTGTGAATAATAAGGTATGTACAAATTCTTATCTAGACATAAAGAATACTTTTCATTACTAACTTCGTAAAAAAAAAACGTTTTTTTTTAATTTAAAAATTTGTTCAGTTTACATATTGAATTATTTTCTATTTTGGACACTAGAGCTGGGCAGACAGAAACATGCCTATTGTTGGCGGATCCATAGGAGCGGCGGCAGTAGTGATTATAATTGCGGTGATTGTTATACTTTACATTAACAAACAAAGGTAGGCTGAAAGAATGACATACTTTAAGTTCATACAACGAAAATACTTTAAAAAAAAGATATATTCACAAAATCCTTGATTTTTTGATTTATAGAAGACACCCAGTAATGGAGAAATCAAGAATATTCGGAGAAAATAGCGTTGGATATCAGGATAACCTTGACCTAAATAGGATTGACCAGGAAGAGGGGGCAACCTTTGACAATCCAACATACGGCACGACAAAATTAGTCATTAAAACACAGGAAAACGTCCAGTGCAATCCATCATTACATATGACAGACGCCGCTAGCACTCATAGCATGGAAGTATAAGGCATTAGATGCTAACTGTAGCTATATGTGATTATACATGCGTGGACTACTTTATAAATGAGCATTTATTTTTCATCAAGTCCATAAGATATATCTAAATCGATCGATATTTATAATAAGTTTATAAGAATATTCAATTTTTAAACCTTGTAAAATAGCATCCATCTCTAAGACTTTGACAAATTAAAAATTTTCAAAGTGAGACTAAAATTGGTTTGTCTTTGTGCAAACAGAACTTGTATTTTTACATGAATAGAAAATTTTATATCTAGGCTTGTAAGTATTGTTTCCCTTTGTCAATGTAAGAATTTTAGATATTAAGTCCAATTACAATTTATACTATATCTTTATCGGTAAAGTTTTGGGCAACAAAAGAAAAATAATGAACATACATATAGTGATTTCATTCATCAGATATTACTTTGTGAAGTTAGAAATGCTGTAGAGGTATAAATGTCTTCTGTCGGTCCAAAGTTGCCATGGAGGAGTGAGCATCCCCTGCTGACCGGTCTGTTACAACGCACTTTTTCAAAGTGCGTTAAATTTTGGACCTAATCAACGCACTTTGAAAAAATAAAATTTCTTTTCAAAGTGCGTTGATATCGACCATATTAACGCACTTTGAAAAAATGTGTATTGTTTGGTCAATATTCCTGAAAGTCTTAGGTATGGTAAATAATTGCATCTGTTGGATATCTTTTCGGTGGTAAGATCACTTCAGGATGTGAAAGTGAGCGATTTTGATTTTTCTATACTTTGAAAATTCTTTCTCTCTTAAATGTTTTACTGTACTTAATTTTTTCCTGTTTTCATGCATTTGATATAAACTAAAATTTATTGAAAGTTTTCAACGTCACACCAGTTAAGCAAATACATATATTTAGGTGTAGCATAGGCATCAGTACCGGGAGGGGGGGGGGGTTAGTCACACAAATGTTTTGCAAAGATATACATAATATAGGAATAAAAAATTGGGGCTCACCTGGTGGGGGGGGTTAGCCACGCATGTCATTTGACCCCCTGCTGTGTGAGACCATCGATGCGACATACGTGTAGGTGACCTTTCAAAGTGTGTTGCCACACCGGTCACACTCGCCGTTGCTCCTTGTCAAGACTGGGAAATAATGGGAAAATCTGTCGTTAATTCAGTGTGTAAATTATGAACTAACAACTAGTATGAAAATCGTCAGTCAGCATTTGAATTGATGATGGATTGTATTTGTTGACAAGATCATAGAATCAATCATAAATTTAACGAAAGAATGACAGACTTTAAATAAGATTGCTTATATTCTTGTTTCATCAACTTGTTTGTCAAGACAAAAAAAATAAATTGTATAGAAATAGGAGAAAACTTCAGCTTTTCCATCCTCACCTTTCTACTGTAGCAATATTCTACAAACACCTTCATTTCTTTTAAATGTCTCCCAAAGTATTCGACACTTAAGAGCACACTCTGATAGGATTGATTTTTACACCAAGGCGGGTACTAACCGATACAGTAGAGTTCTCGGTATTTTCATTTTGTTTAAAGTCAGCATTTCATAACGCTATGGTAGTTATAACGTCCTTTACCAAATGCAATGAATTATATTGACTTCCATATTTCCTACCTATTGTTAGCCTTTTTTTAGCCAGTTTTGAAATTTCAGAAATGATCTTAT